TGACGGTGCTGTCGTGTTATCAACAGCATACCGTGTATTGGATAGTGTGCGATAGTATCAGCGTGTAGTATAGCAGCTTGGACTCGCATACAGGAAGGCGACACGGGGGAAGATGCTGACCTGTCCCCCGATGAAGCGACATTGATCACGAAACTTGGCTGGCCAAGGCCAATTCCAGACCCACATGCAGTGAAACTCACGGCCACTCGTAGCTGCAGCTATGACGTAGAAACATGTCTCGACTTTTTTGGCATGTTGTGGTGAAGCCGACTTTCGCAAGGAATGGCAAACACGTGCTGGTGACACAATGCACGACAGACGACTTCACCAAGTCCGTCGATGCCCTGGTGTACTACATCGACCATTACACCGACAAGATGAAGATCGCCTACCCCACCCTCTGGTTTGAACGCAACATGCGATCCTTCGTCAAGGGCACAATCTACGACATCTACTTGCCACCCGGGCTCCTGCGCCCTTCAGTTGAGGACATGGAGGACATGTGGCGCATCCTGGGCCTTGGCGCCAGACGAACCGAGCCCAACCTCCTGCGGCCCGAGCCGTTTAGCGAGTCCTGCTATGCCGTGTGGCAAGGTGGCGATTTCATAAGCCCGATGAGCGAGTGCATCCCTGAGGTCGTTGGGGCCATGCGGGCGTGCGCGGCGCCTTCGCTGTCTTTGAGGAAGAACTGATGGCAGAGTACTGGCCGCATTGCCATGCCCACTGGACAATTTCAGATTTGGGTTTCTACGCGTGACGTGTGGGCGTGCGCAACGAGCCTTTTCGGGGACGGCGACTTCATCAAGCTTGTTGGAGAGGAGAGGACGTTGAAGTGGCATCAGGACCAAGAAGGTTGAAGCATTTCAAAATGCAGGTCCCGGCGCAGGCAATTTCAGTGCGGGTGAAGATTTTCGCTGTGTACCGTCATGGAGACAGCGACCAAAAAGGGTGTTGCCAACAATGCGTCACGAAGTGCATTCGGGGCTTGGTTTCGCAAGAACTGCCTCCAGTAGGATGGCGTGACTTCGTTGGTGCAAATCAGTTGAAGATGCTTTTAGAAAATTGCAAGATTGGCTAAGGGTTGTCCAAGGCCTCGTAGATGGCCGGGGGAGTGTAGGCAACGCACCGTCAGAAATGATAAATTTATCCGTTGCAGATCTCATCGTATAGCGGCACGTTTCGGATTGTCAGATAAGTTTTCTAGGCGCTGCGTAAGGAGCTTGTTCCAAAAAGCGCCTCGCGGCATCTTCCTCTCAAGCACCAGCTTAGAAGAAGAAGGCCTGAGTGCTCAATTTACGCCTCGGCCCTGGCATGCTTTTGATATCTGATGCAGCTTGTAGGTTGATTATATAGGTTGATTGTTGTTGTTCCACAAGCAGCGATGATCAATGACGACCCGTCGCAACTCGTAGTCAGCGAGTGTTGCAGCTCCAAGTGACAGTTCGCCCAGGTTGCAGCTACAAATGCTGCCTGCACGCCGACGCGCCTTCGACCGCAGAGTGGATCATGTTTCAAGTGTTGAAAGTTTTTGGGTTCGCGGTCGGGGAAATTACGTTTAGCACTTTAGCAACATAGAAGCTCTTGCAAAAACGTGCCTTTTGCCATTCATAGGTGGGCATTTCTTTGCGACGACCCTCCTTCTGAGCGTGGTGGCTTCCGCCGCCGACGCTGCAGACTCAATGGTACGACTGCTGCCCCTGACCCTAGACCCTTAACCCTAAGCCTCTTGCTTTTGGGACAGCCGCCCGATTTTCAGACTTTTCGTGGGAGCCCGGCTTCATTCTCATTTTTGTTTCTGACCTTTAGGGTTTAGGGTTTCTCAGAGCTTGGGATTTATGGTTTCGGGTTTTACCATTACGATTGCTCCTGCTACTGAGCTGCTACTGCTATTGCTGTTGCTGTTGCTGTTGCTGTTGCTATTGCTATTGCTATCGCAACGTAGTGCGGCACCTCCAAAAGCAAACCCAGCACCCAGCCCAGGTTCAGGGATTCGAGTTTAGGGTCTTGAGGGTTCTGGACCGGATTCGGCGGGGGCTGGAAAGGCGGATTTCGTGATTGGGTCCTTGCTCGTTTGATCATAAGTGGTTGTCTCGAGTGAGAAGGGGTTGTCGGGTTTCGGGGTTTTGGCGTGCTGACGCCCGAACCCTACGATGAGGACCTGAAGGAAGCTCCGATGGTCCGGTCTCAAGATATCCTGAACATGCAAACCCTGAACCCAAACCCCGACACCCTGAACAGGCTTAGCATTAGCCCTGAGCCCTGAACCACCCAGCTCCCAGCTTGAGATGCGGCATGGTTTGGGCATGGTTCGGCACTGCGGTCGTCGATTCTAGGAGTTTAGGCTTCAGGGTTGAGGGTCTCTAGTGGGAGTCATAGGACTATGGGGTTGAGGGGGGAAAAAAGGTTTGCATAGGATACAGGAGATCATAGTCTAGATCTGGCTTTGGGAGATCTGGCATACACAGAACCCCACGCCCTGAGTCCCAAACCCCGGAGCCACAGTGTTTGTGCCAAGACCGACCAAGCGAAAACCCAAAGATTTTGGTTGGGTTCCCTCAGTGTTACTCGGCCACGGTTTTGGGGTTTAAGATTCATGGTGTTTGGTATGAGGGTGCTTCCACCGTGGTGAAAGGGCCCTTGGCAATCTCTCGTCACCACAAGCTGGGCTTCCGGCTGTAATTATTTCAGTTCGGTGCATGGTATTTAGATCAGTGTTGGACAACGTTTCCCGAGGAACCTGATTTGCTGCACAAGTACAAGTACGAGTACAAGCCCCGCAACCTCAACCCTAAGCCCCAAGCCCCAAGCCCCAAACCCCAAACCCCAAACCCTAAACCCCAAACCCCTCACAGCCAGCCCGAGGATGCCCCAAGCGAAAAGGCCGTGTGTCGGGATCCCCGATTCAGGGGTTTCCAGGAATTGCTTGTGCGTTTAAGGGGTTGAGAGGTTTTGTTTTCCCCAAATCTTAAACCGGAAGCCGAAAGGGTCGGGGGGTCGGGAGTGGATGGCGGCCTCGGTGCTCTGTAGTGGGTTTGACACGGTTTCACAGCTACGGCATTCTCCTCAGATGCAAAAAAAGAGACTGAGAAGCCACCTCAACCTTGTCTGATGTAGGGGCTTGAAGTCCTGACTGAAGCCCCGCGTGCCCCGCCCAAAGCCAGCCGAGGAGCTAGAACCAAAACCTTAGAGTCGCAAAGTAGAGAAAGAAGCCCTAGCCACCCTCTCACACCCTGTAAGAGTAAATCCTTCACCAGACCTCAAAAAAGCAGCCGAGGCTCCCTGGAGGAAGACTGCCAGTGGGGGTTTCACCGTTTCGGATTTTTCGGGGATAGGGGTTTGGGGTTCAAGAAGGGGGTCAGGGATCTAGGTGCAGGATTCAGGTGTTTGGGGGCTCAGAGGTCGTCAGGATTGGAAGGCGTGTGGGTTCATGTAGGGGGTTTGGGGGTTTAGGGGGGTAGGGGGGTTTAGGGGGTTTAGGGGGGTTTCGGGGGGTTTAGGGGGGTTTAGGGGGGTTTAGGGGGGTTTTAGGGGGGTTTAGGGGGGTTTAGGGGGGTTTAGGGGGTGGACGTCATGTTGAGACAGCACCGCTTGACTCAACAAGCTCGTAAGAACCCTGAAGCCGAAACTCCCCAAACCCTGCATCCTCGGGGCTAGAATGCCAAGCCCATGCCCTTCATTGAGCACAAACTCTTGAGTCTAGGGTTTCTTAGGGTTCATGAACAGTTCTTTGAAGTTCGTTGAGGGTTTGTAAGGTGACTCCCGCATTTCCGCTCATTACGAAACATGGTCAGAATCCCATCAATGCCCCGGGTGCTGAATACGGGGCAAGGAGCCCCGACCTTGAGTCTTCAAAACACCTCAAAACAGCTCCAGTTTGCTCTGTGAGGGTTTATGACACTCCAGGAGGGCGATTTGCCTTTGACATCTGGTGGGGTGAAGGTCTGGGGGTATGAAGTGCCTTGCGGGTGGATTGTTTTGTGCCTGGTTCTTGTGGCATGCCGTAATGAGGTCACCACGAGGTCACCACGTCACGAGGTTCCAGTTCCCAGCCACAGGCTGTTACCTTTTACACTTTTCCTGTAGGTGGAGTCGGACGACACCACGCAGAAGCTCAGCTGGTTGTTCACGCATGGCCTGGACCCCCGGTGCACAGAGTCTGAGTGCACTGCCGCCAATTGCTGTGGCGTTTACATCCACGAGGGCGTGACCTGCTCGGACGCCGATGCCATTGGCGGCCACTTCTGGAACAAGGATGCCCATTCAGAAGATCCTTGGAAGGACGTGCGCTACGTGATTCAGGGCTCCATGCCATCGGCGGTCAACGACATCATCGTCAGGACTGGCTACGCGGCCGAGGACATCAATGGCCGGGCTGTTGTGGTTCACGACTACAACGGTGCACGCATTGGCTGTGCCATCATCGAGCTGCCTGCGGTCGAGACACGTGTGGAGGGCGATGCCTTGTATGTCTTTGGCTTCAGCCCGTATCCTGGCTCCTCATCTCCATACCAGCCACAGGGAGTGGTCGAAGTCAAGTCCACGAAGGATTTCAAGACGGTTCTGTCTTGGAATCTGACAGGACTCGACCCTGGTTGCAGCAGCCAGTGCAGCCCGACGAACTGCTGCGGCGTCCACATCCACGAAGGCGGGGCTCGATCTTCAATTAAGGATGCTGTTTGGGCACTCATGCCGTGTTAGGTAGCATCCCGATGCGTCCCGGGGGTGGTTCGCCGCACATTCGTGGGCCTTGCCAGGCACCAATTGCACGGAGGATGCCGGGCCCCACTACTGGGGCGGTCGTGACGCCGATCCCTGGCTTTCGGTCAAGTACGACTCCAGCGAGGACCCAGCAACCGTCCTTTCCATGAAAATCCACACGCACCTCGCTCGCAGTGACGTCCTGGGCCGAGCGATGGTGATTCATGACAAGACGGGCGTACGCATAGCGTGCGGCGTCATCGAGGACGGGAGATCCTGCGTGATATAACGCACTAATTGTACATGAACCTTGACATGCCCACAGGCGGATATCTTCAGCACGCCCAAAACGTAGCTGATCGTAGCTGTGATCCTGTGTAGTGTGTGCTGCTTAGTGTGCGCGCCGCGCTGCCCCCCCCCGGTCCTCACCCATCCCGCACCCCTGTAGTTCGGGCTAGGAGCAGCACGGTTGAGAGTAGGGATTCACGATTTTTTGAGTTTTTGACTTCTGCTTCCCCGCATACTGGGCCGCATGACGAAAAGCAGGGTCACAACAGGGCAGAAGGGGATACCATCAGCTGCACACTCGCAGGGCAACGAGCCCATACCTTGACCTTTCCCAGCCTCAACACTAATTGAATGTGGCGCAGAGCAAGCTGTCCTTTTCTATATTCTCCAGGAGTCCACGACCACGGTCTTCGAGGAGAGTCCTGATTATGGCGGCGATTTGCCTTTAACATCTGGCGGAGTGAAGGTCTGGGGGTTTATGTGTCTGGTTCTTGTGGCATGCCGTAATGAGGTCACCACGGCACGAGGTTCCAGTTCCCAGCCACAGGCTGTTACCTTTTACCCTTTTCCTGTAGGTGGAGTCGGACGACACCACGCAGAAGCTCAGCTGGTTGTTCACGCATGGCCTGGACCCCCGGTGCACAGAGTCTGAGTGCACTGCCGCCAATTGCTGTGGCGTTCACATCCACGAGGGCGTGACCTGCTCGGACGCCGATGCCATTGGCGGCCACTTCTGGAACAAGGATGCCCATTCAGAAGATCCTTGGAAGGACGTGCGCTACGTGATTCAGGGCTCCATGCCATCGGCGGTCAACGACATCATCGTCAGGACTGGCTACGCGGCCGAGGACATCAATGGCCGGGCTGTTGTGGTTCACGACTACAACGGTGCACGCATTGGCTGTGCCATCATCGAGCTGCCTGCGGTCGAGACACGTGTGGAGGGCGATGCCTTGTATGTCTTTGGCTTCAGCCCGTATCCTGGCTCCTCATCTCCATACCAGCCACAGGGAGTGGTCGAAGTCAAGTCCACGAAGGATTTCAAGACGGTTCTGTCTTGGAATCTGACAGGACTCGACCCTGGTTGCAGCAGCCAGTGCAGCCCGACGAACTGCTGCGGCGTCCACATCCACGAAGGCGGGGCTCGATCTTCAATTAAGGATGCTGTTTGGGCACTCATGCCGTGTTAGGTAGCATCCCGATGCGTCCCGGGGGTGGTTCGCCGCACATTCGTGGGCCTTGCCAGGCACCAATTGCACGGAGGATGCCGGGCCCCACTACTGGGGCGGTCGTGACGCCGCTCGCTCGCAGTGACGTCCTGGGCCGAGCGATGGTGATTCATGACAAGACGGGCGTACGCATAGCGTGCGGCGTCATCGAGGACGGGAGATCCTGCGTGATATAACGCACTAATTGTACATGAACCTTGACATGCCCACAGGCGGATATCTTCAGCACGCCCAAAACGTAGCTGATCGTAGCTGTGATCCTGTGTAGTGTGTGCTGCTTAGTGTGCGCGCCGCGCTGCCCCCCCCCGGTCCTCACCCATCCCGCACCCCTGTAGTTCGGGCTAGGAGCAGCACGGTTGAGAGTAGGGATTCACGATTTTTTGAGTTTTTGACTTCTGCTTCCCCGCATACTGGGCCGCATGACGAAAAGCAGGGTCACAACAGGGCAGAAGGGGATACCATCAGCTGCACACTCGCAGGGCAACGAGCCCATACCTTGACCTTTCCCAGCCTCAACACTAATTGAATGTGGCGCAGAGCAAGCTGTCCTTTTCTATATTCTCCAGGAGTCCACGACCACGGTCTTCGAGGAGAGTCCTGATTATGGCGGCGATTTGCCTTTAACATCTGGCGGAGTGAAGGTCTGGGGGTTTATGTGTCTGGTTCTTGTGGCATGCCGTAATGAGGTCACCACGGCACGAGGTTCCAGTTCCCAGCCACAGGCTGTTACCTTTTACCCTTTTCCTGTAGGTGGAGTCGGACGACACCACGCAGAAGCTCAGCTGGTTGTTCACGCATGGCCTGGACCCCCGGTGCACAGAGTCTGAGTGCACTGCCGCCAATTGCTGTGGCGTTCACATCCACGAGGGCGTGACCTGCTCGGACGCCGATGCCATTGGCGGCCACTTCTGGAACAAGGATGCCCATTCAGAAGATCCTTGGAAGGACGTGCGCTACGTGATTCAGGGCTCCATGCCATCGGCGGTCAACGACATCATCGTCAGGACTGGCTACGCGGCCGAGGACATCAATGGCCGGGCTGTTGTGGTTCACGACTACAACGGTGCACGCATTGGCTGTGCCATCATCGAGCTGCCTGCGGTCGAGACACGTGTGGAGGGCGATGCCTTGTATGTCTTTGGCTTCAGCCCGTATCCTGGCTCCTCATCTCCATACCAGCCACAGGGAGTGGTCGAAGTCAAGTCCACGAAGGATTTCAAGACGGTTCTGTCTTGGAATCTGACAGGACTCGACCCTGGTTGCAGCAGCCAGTGCAGCCCGACGAACTGCTGCGGCGTCCACATCCACGAAGGCGGGGCTCGATCTTCAATTAAGGATGCTGTTTGGGCACTCATGCCGTGTTAGGTAGCATCCCGATGCGTCCCGGGGGTGGTTCGCCGCACATTCGTGGGCCTTGCCAGGCACCAATTGCACGGAGGATGCCGGGCCCCACTACTGGGGCGGTCGTGACGCCGATCCCTGGCTTTCGGTCAAGTACGACTCCAGCGAGGACCCAGCAACCGTAGGACCCAGCAACCGTCCTTTCCATGAAAATCCACACGCACCTCGCTCGCAGTGACGTCCTGGGCCGAGCGATGGTGATTCATGACAAGACGGGCGTACGCATAGCGTGCGGCGTCATCGAGGACGGGAGATCCTGCGTGACAAGATGCAGTCTATAGTATAGATAAACCTTGACACGCACTCGCACACGCACACCCGCACACCCGGACACCTGCACACCTGTGCACCCCGCGCACAGGCGCGCACGTGGCGCGCGTGCACGCGCACGTGGCGCACAGGCGCGCGCACGCACCCACGCACACCCACGCACACCCACGCACACCCACGCACACCCACGCACACCCACGCACTTGCCCTTTGAAGCCGAAATCGTTCGAAGGACTCCCCCTCGCGAACCTCACCCTGGAGCCCTTCAGGTGGGTCTTGGGCGGCTTGCTTATATGTCTGCGTCTGGGCGTGCGCGTGTGCGTGTGCGTGTGCGTGTGTGGGTGTGTGGGCGTGTGTGTTGGTGTTGTTTAAGGGTGTGTTGGCTTTTTGAGGGTGTAGGGCTTTCAGGGCTTGGCTCTGCAAGCTTTTGGGCTCGATGGGATGGGTTGAGGGCCAGGTGTGTAGGGTTTAAGTAGGTTCTATGGTAGGGCTTGGAGGTTTATGGCCTTGACGGTTAGGGTTTCGGGTTGTTGGCGTGTTTAGTGTCTAGGGGTTGAAGCGCTTCGGGCTGTGGATTGTTTAGGGTTCAGGGCTGAAAGGGTTTACGAGGGGGGCTGGGTTTTGTAGGGTTGATGGTTGTGGGCTGCTAGGGTTTAGGGTTTTAGGGCGTACGGGCGTTTAGGGTTTCAGGTTTTCCCGACCCCTTAGGGGTTAAGGTGCGCGTTTGAGGGTTGGGGCTTTCCGGGTTTGGGTTTTTTGTGGTGTTAGGGTTTGAAGGGTTTCGGGTTGTAAGGTTCAGGGCTTGTAGTGTTTATATGCGCCGCCATTCACAGACCCCCCCTCCCTCCCTCCCACCCGCATTCTATCCCTGTACTAGGCTGTGAGGTTTAGGGTTTTCACTCTGCCCATGTGGCTTCTGGTGTGCTTACGGTTAGGGTTCAGCTTTAAAATTGCTAAGGTTTCGAGGTTTCCTTTCTGCCCCCCCGTGGCTCATTTTTCGTGTGAAGCTTTTCAAGCTCTTAAGTTTTTGGCTTCGCGCTTCGCCTGAAGACTTAAAGCTCCGAACTTTAGCTTCGCGCTTCGCCTGAAGCCTAAGCTTGAAGTTCGTGTCTTCGCACTTCGCCCAGTAAGTGCCCCCCGAACCCGAACCACAACAGGTTCAGGGTTCGCGTTCGGTTCCGGGTTTGGGGGGGATCGGGGATCGGGGGCGGGGTTCAAACCCTGACCGCTAACCCTAAAACCACAACGGACCAGGGTCCCGCATGAAGAGTTTCGAGGCTGGCTGAGACGGTTGCCACCTACCCTGAAAACACTAGATACTGCCAGCCCGCGTGCGCAAAAACAGAAACACAAGAAGCGAGGTTTGGGTCAGCTGGCCACTTGCCTGAGACTTGAGAAGCCTGTTACAGTACTTTGGGTTTTGGGTTTAGGGGTCATAGGGTCTTGGGGGTTCAGGGTGTTGGGGGTTTAGGGCTTCGGGCTTTAGGGTTTCCGTGTGTTTAGTTTACGGAAAATTGGTTGCACAAGGAGGTTCAGGGCTTCAGGTCAAACCCAAAATTCGGGCTTGAGCTGGAATGCAATGGGCTTTGGCGGTTGTCCATAAATCCTGTCTGCAGAGCTCCCAAACTTATAAAAGGTCCGAACGATGCCGTTTGTTCCGGGTGGGTTTTGCGGGTGCTTGGGGGGTTTCAGGGCTTTGAATACTCGGATACCCTAAACCCTAAACCCCACCCTCACGCAAAGCCATAAACCCTAAGCCCTAATCCCTAAACACTATTGGTATTGCGGCGTAGGGGTTTCGAGGGGGTTAGGACGGTTTAGGGTTTAGGGTGGGCTTCGGGCTTTAGGGTAGAGGCTAAACGCCCGAAACCTTAAGACGCGCCTTGGAGCAGACCTTCAGGCCTAAACATTCAACCCAATCCCTTTTTGGAACGTTTCCATGCGTGGCCAGGCTGCAACCCTCAGCCCTTTCATCCTAAACTCCCAAAGCGCGTTGCTGCTCTTCCTCGCTTCCTCAAGCCCTTGAACTGTTTGCTGACGGATTTTTCCTGAGGCTAATTTGCTGCACGTTGGGCTGCCAGCTTTCCCGGCTTGCCCGGTTTGCCCGGCGCAGAGCTGCTCAGCCTTTGATGGGGTTAGTGTTATGGGTTATTTATAGGGTTTGCTTGACTGCTTGGAGTGTGAAGTACCTCTTGCAAATTAAGTGCCAAAACTTCTAGGGTTCATCAGAACAAAGGCAGCCGCAGCACGCGGGCGAGCACTCCTCCGCCAACTCGCCCAACAGGCAGGGCGGTGCCCAATCCCAGAGACTACCCTGAGTATACTATGGTATACTATATTATAGTATACGAAAGTGTATACTCTAGTACACTATAGTACAGCTCTTCTGCTTCTTTTTGAATGACGCGGCAGTCACCCAAGCTAGTGCAAGTTAGGCTTGAGTTCGATTCTGCTTTGGCAGTATACTATATAGTAACACTATAGTCGATTATAGTAACGTTGCACCGTTGCACCCGCCCCGGTTTAAAGCGCACCGCGCCCCAGATTATTCAGGGCTCCCCTACTTTTGGGTGACTCGGTATAAAGCACACCCCTGACCCCCTAAGAAAAAAAAAGCATGCAGCTTGCTTTCTGGAACTTCTGACAAGCTCCGGTCTGGCCCTTCACTGGGTCCTGCCTACTACTCAGACTAGGTACTTAGTACTAGTATTCCAGATGAAAAGAACAGATTCATTAGAGCGTCCCCAAGATGTGGGGGGGCCACTCTAAAACGGGCGCAACATTATGCTATAGTATACTATAGTATAGTATAGGGGGTGGCGGGGGGGTGGTGGGTGGGTCGAAATGGATAAAATTTTCCCTCCGCAGAGCGTGTGTGTGTGTGTGTGTGTGAGTGTGTGGAGTGCCCAGCCACTCACCGACTACCCTTAGACTCCCTGGACTGCCCAACTCCAGCGACTACCTATACAGCCATATAACAATCGCGAATAACTTGTGAACGCCAGGTGGGTTTGTCCGCGCCCGCGAGTCCGCGTGTCCTCGTCTCGTGTTCGCGTGGCATTCGTGTCGCGTGTCCGTGTGTCCGGGCATGGACAGTATCTACTAGCATGAGAATGGGATTGCATACAGCTATATAGCGTTCATGAGTGTGAGATTGATTGGAATGCCCAACCCCAGACGGAGACTACCTGAGCTTCAGTGACTACCCTAAGACTTCCTGGATTGCCCAACCCCAGACACTACCCTGACTCCTGTAGAGTGCCCAACACCCCAGAGACTACCCTGAGACTCCCAGAGACCCGCAGATTCTTCATCTGCGCGGGGGGATGTTCGAAGTAACATATATTTGTTAACTTCTGTCATTGCATTGGTTTTGTTTTTCAGCCTATCCAATTAGCTCAGCCTACTAAACGTTGATTGGGCTGATGAAAGCACACAGACAAATGCGGCTGGGAAGTTTGAGGGGCGTGGTGTTGAGGGGGGAAGGGCGGGGGTGTTGCGGGGGGAAGGGCGGTGCGGCACGAGGCATTCATGACAAACAGAACCACAAATCCTCAACCCTCAGCCCGCAAAAGCCTAAGCCTCCCTTACCCAATCCACCCACTAGTGAACAAACCTAATCTATTTCATTAATGAACCCTAAACCTAACCCCAATCCCCAATCCTAGACCCACCCAGCCCCAGCCCGAAAACCTAAACCATAAACCCCCAAAGCTCTAAACCCTCATCCGCAACAACCCTAAACCCGAACCTAAACCCCCAACCTGAATCCCTACCGCCCCAACCTGCAAGCCTAAACCGCTCAGGGCCGGCTCGCCTCTTTAGTGCGGCGCTTGGCCAGGATCGTGCCTTGGCTGTGTTTGCCATACGAAGTTGCAAGTTGCAAGGGTTTGGGTTATTAGTATATGTTCTTGGTTTCAAGGGCCTGGAGAGGGAGTGTTCGGAACAAGAGAATAATGTGTTGGGGCTGGAGAAACCTGGTTTGAATCAATCGATCTTCTAACAGAGACATTGATAGATCATCAAGATGGTTGTAATCAGAGTGCATGAGTTACAGGATCTCGAGGCTCAAACCCCAAACAACAACCTATTAAGACGGTGCGCATTGCGCGTGTCATCCTTGCATGTCCATGCTGTTTGTTGCCATTGCACATGCAGCACTCCTCCTCGTCAAACTTGCTCTTCAGCAAGCTGTGGAGTCAGAAGCGTGGACTGAGAAGGGTGGCAAAAATTCCGGGTGGCAGGCCATCGCGAGGCAATTTCTCCCAAACCTTCACGCCATCGATCGTATCCATCTCTGCTTTGCTCGACTTTCGGAACTTCGCAATCGTCAATGGCCTTCCCGATATGTCATCAAAACAGATGCCCTCGGCGCTTCTTCCTGGACCACCTCGGGACTCGGGTGTGCCTATTGTTTCCTCACGCGAGGGCTAAGTGCCTAAGAGCCCTGCAGCGCCAAAATGGCGAAAAAAACTTTTCTTGCTCTTCATTCAAAAGAAGGTCAGCGTTGATCTCCAGAGCGTCTAACGAAAGGCTCGGGGCATCTCTTGAAGATACCCACTCAGCGCTTCGTTTCTCACTCCTAGCAGCGGGTAGGTGAAACATTCGCGGGTTCATCTTCATGACTCCCTTCGGCTTTCTGTCCTCTTAGGGGAACCCGGCTACCAGAGCTCAGTCATCGTATCCCTCGGGACAATAATCACCCGCTCGCGAAACACCTCGTTGGCGTGAAGCCCCGGAGTGACTCCCCAGTAGACGCTTTCCACACGATTCTGCTGTGAATCCCGCAGCCTTGTAAAGTGCTTTGAGCTGTAGCCGAACGTGTTAAAGTATCTTTGCAGTTGCGGTTCATGTAGATGTTGCCTCCAGTCATGATGTATTTCATGCCAGCTGTGCTTACACATCGAGCAACCAAAGTTTTCAGCAACAAAGAGCCATCAACAATTGCTGTGCAGATGCAAGACATGTTCGTTGTGAGAGTCGTCTCCCCCCACCTCACCCATTATGTACAAACATCAAAAACCGGCACTGTCACCCACAGCCTCGTGCGTGTTTCGATACTTACGACCCTCTCACACGAAACCATGTTTTCTGCAAAAGAATGTGCTTTCGCCAAAGTCCCGTGCATGTTTTTTTAATAACAAAAACAAATTCGACGACCCTCTCACACGAAACCGTGCTCCGGGCGTTAGAACGTGAGTTTACGTGCAGTCACTATGCCCACGTGCGTCGTTGTTGTGAAGTTGACAAGAACTGATCTCATTTTCGCACACGAAGGTATGATCCGGGGCGTCAATAACGCGAGCCTTAGTACACTATCCAAATTCTATCGAGAAGTTCCGCGCAGAAAATGCGTGCCCAGGCGCCCAAAATTGTGGTTTAGCGCCACAAGTTCCAGAGATGTCCGTAAACCTTTAAAACGAAATGTTGGTTGCCAAAACCGAAACCTAAACGGAGAGGGTGGTTGCCAAGCCCTAAACCCAAAAGAGGAGATGATGGTTGGCTAATAATAAACCTTTTTGCAGATGTTGGTTGCAAAACCTTAAACTTAAAACGGAAATGTTGGTTGCCAAGCCCTACACCCGAAACTGAGAACGGAGATGTTGGTTGCCAAGCCGAAGAACTTAAACCCTAACAGCAGCAGATGTTGGTTACCAAACCCCCTAAACCCTGAAAGGAGCTGTTGGCTGCCAACCCCTAAACCCTAACAGGGCATGTTGGCTGCCAAACCCTACTCCCTAGAATGAAATGTTGGTTGACAAACCCTAGCCCTGCAAGGACATGTTGGTTGCGAAACCTTAAACCCTAAACCGAGATGTTAATCGCCACACCTTAACACAAAAGGAGATGTTGGTGGCCAAGGCCGAAACCAGGAGATGTTGGTCGCCGCGAAACCCTGCACCATAGGATGGGATGTTTGTTGCCGAGCCCTAAACCCAGCAAGAGTTTTGATTGCCAATGGTAGTTGCCAAACTTTGAACTCTAAGAGGAGATGTTGGTTGCCAAATCCTAACAGCATATGTTGGTTGCCAAACCTTAAACCCAAAAACCAAATGTGGGTCGCAAAAGCCCCCAAAAGATGTTGTTCGCAAAAGCCAAAGCCCTAAAATTAAATTAAAGTTGCCAAGCCCTATTCCCGAAAAAGAAATGTTGGTTGCCAAGCCCTAAACTTTAAAATGGGATGTTGGCCCTAAACCTTCAAAAGGAGATGTTGGTTCAAAAAGAATGTTGGTGGCTAAAACCGAAGCCCGAAAAGGAGATGGGAAAATCGCACGCCTGTCAATGCATCCGACTTTCGCGGACCACATAAGTAGTCGCACCCGTTTTTTTTTTTTCAGAAGTCTGGCCCCAAGAGTATGGAGTCGCAAATGACAGAAAATAGGGAGTCGCGTATGACAGGAGTGCCCCCTCAGCAACCCCCCCCTAAGATAGGTAGCCGCCTATCAAGGGCCCACCCCCACCCCCCTCAAGCACCCTAAACCCTACATTCCACAAGTCTTGCCGAGGACAAGCTGGCAGCTTGTGGGGCTACCCCCAATACGAGCGTAATGCTCGCTTGGGCCTTGGGGGATGGGTTTGAGTGATATACAATCCAGTAGTGATGTAAACAGATGCATTGTATGGGGTGGGGGGGTGAAAATTATGCATGATATGAGATAAACCCATCCCCCGAGGCCACCATGCTGGCAGGTTTGTGATGTGTGGAAGAAACGGTTTCGAATGTTTCCTGCTTCTCTCCGTTCTGCTTCTGAACCATAAGTGTTGAGGGCTTTGGCAGTTGCGTTTGAACGTTCGAACATGTCCATGCTCAGCTAGCCTGATGACAATCCCTCTAGGTCATGCAAAACCTTGCGCTTTCCTTGAACCTTTGACTCGTCATCTCAAGCTTGTTGAGAACATTGCAGTGCAGCTTCCTTTGCTTCGGCCTGCTAGTGTGCGAGCAGACTAATACTTACAAACGGGTTTGAATCTCGAGCAAGGCATGACGTGCATTTTTCAGAGGCTTCTGCGGACTGCTTGCTAATTCAAAGACCCAAGCCCCAAAAGCATCCCAAAACCCACCACGTCAACTCGAAGCGTTAACGCCGGACCGAGACCGAGCATAAAAACCTGAAGCCGAACACAAGAGCCTCAGAAGCCCAGAGCTGCCCAGAATGGATAAATTGGAATACATCCAACTTGCACTCGCAGCCCCAAAGTCTCAAGTGCGCTTGCGCGGCTCTTCTCTTGCATTTCGGCTCAACCGCTCGGTGTGAAGAACCTGAAGCGCAGTGGAGGCCACGGAGAAGTTGCAGGGTTTGGGGAGGTGTTGAGGACTGCTCGTGTCAGGCTCAAGGGTATAGGACTCAGCTTGTGGGGCCGCTGGTAGATCTTTGCCTGCAACGGCTTGCACCCATTTGTAAGCCGAACTAGATCTTGGGTCCCAACTTGAGGGTCATGAAGGTTCGAAGGCTCTGCTATGCTGCAGCTACGATGTCGACTTTCACCACGTTGCACTAGCCAGAGATATTGATCTGTGCCGGCAAGGACTCTCGGTAGCCGGCTTTTCGGGATGCTTACGCGTATGTACGCGTATGTCAATCCTGCAAAGCAGTCGGCACAGGTGGCGATTCACTCCGATCTGGTGGCCTGCGGAGGACAGCTGGCCACCACGATTTTGGTCTGACTGTGCCCGGGACATGTCAGTGTACCTGTAGATCCTTAGAGCAGTCCATGGACCCATGTGTCACCAGGCTTGCGCAAGCCCATGGCCGTTTCAAAGGCGCCAGCAGACTCTGCTCCGAGAAGCCCTTGCGCACCAGTATATGCACATATACATATATAGATATACATATACATGTGTACGTATACATGTATGCAGCCATCAATGCAGTTGTTGATTCTCGGGGCATCAAAACAGCCAGGTCTTCTTCTCTACCCCTCCGTTGCTTGGGCACAATGAGGTCCTTCAGCAGGGCTTGCCGCTGCAGCTAAATGCTTCTTGCATACTCAGACCGTCTCAGACATGTGAGCGCATGACTTGATCACTGTATCACTGTGACCCCTACGAAGCCCCACTTCGCCCCACCAAGCCCTCAGTGCCTTGAATTTCTTATTCCTGAGAAGCCCTGGCATCCATGCTTGTCGCAGTCCTACTTTCCGCCCATTCAGAGCATGGGACATGCGGGGACGCCGCTGGGCATTCGAAGAATGGTATTCAGGGGTTTGTGTTCTTGATATGCTCTGCGGGCTGGGGCCAAGAGAGTTATCGACCGGGACCTGTTCACGTGGTAACTCGCGGCGCAGAGGCTGTTAGCCGGACCGGCCACGATGATCTTGGCCGCAACCTTACATGTTGCTCGAATCTTGAATGAAGATCAGGTTCTACCCTCATTCTGACAGCTACAACTTGTTGGGTTCAGAAGGTGCGCATCGATTCGAACCTCAGGAGCAGTCCCCATAATTTCTTAAGGTTCGATTCCCCTTGCAAGGTGTCCACGCCAAACCCGAAGCAGCAACAGCCCCAGGTCTTAGGCTTGCAGATGCTGAAGAAGCAGCTGACGAGCACTCACAAGAGTGCCGCGTGCTCGGCTGCTGGTCGGCCCCTGCGGTCATGAGTGAGCGAGTGAGTGAGTGGGTGGGTGGGTGGGTGAGAGAGTGTGTGTGTGTAGGATTTGCACCCCGCATCCTCGTCCGTGCCCTCTTGGCACCTTCAATCCCCATATTCCAGACACAGCTCTACAGCCAGACTCAAAAGTACTGATCTCAGGAGCTCTATCAGCACATCTGGAAGTTCATCTCCAAGGTGGGGCAACCCTAGGGGCCCATGCCAAGCACACGGCTGAACGATGCGTGGGACGTGAGAGCCGCAAACAAGGTTTCTACGGTTTGCAAATTGATTTCTGGCCACAGATCCTTCAGCTGATGCATCCAGCACTTTAAAGGAGTCAGTATGGTCGTGTGTGGAAGCCCACGCGCTTGCCAAACAGTCACGATTGAAGCCTCAAGCTCTCTCTCACCCCACCCCTCCCCCTCCCCCCCCGCGCCCTCGTGCTCTTTCATGCTTCTTGTCTTTCCACTCTCAGCGACTTCTGACTTGGACTTTTCCTCGGCTCTGAGATCATGAGAACATGTGCGAACATGAAATCCTGGGTCACATGATTGCCTCAAACCTACAACCCAAATGTCCAAAATGGCTTGCCGAGTTTTTGGTTTGAGGGAGGATGAGGTTCTGACCTGGTCCAGGCTGAGGCCCGAGACAAGACGGGGCGAATCGTCCAATACTTTTGCCGTTTCTTGCAAGGCGGGGCGGGCTTTCCTTTCATTTTTGTGCAGAGACCCTTCTCAAAAGAGGGCTTCTTGCAAGCCCTAACTCCCCTCCCACACGAATCGCCAGGCTTCTTGGGTCACATGTCCGAGACCTTTTGGCTTCAGGCGTGGAAGCCGGTCATTGCCGAGGCCTGGAACGTGCGGACTTCGGAGGGGGGTTGAAAGGTTTAATTCCGGCCTAGGTGATTGGTTTGGGGTGGCTTTGGATTATTGGACTTTAGGGGGCTTCGTTAGGGCCGCGGCAAGCACCTTGACCTGCAGCTTCTGTCCTGTGCCCGCGAAGGTTTTCACCGAATCCCCTAAAACAAATGCTTTTTGAGGTCCAGACTACTCTCGCCTGGGCACGGCGCACACATCGCTGGGGCAAGGAGCGTTTGGTACAACATGTTGCGCAGATCATGAGACACTTAGTCTAGTCCTTTGGCGCGGCAGGTTCTTGCGCAGCACCTTCTGTATCCCCGACGTGGGGCTCAGGGGTGACAAGTTGATTGGATCCAGTGGAGCCTCATCATGCCTGGCAGGAGCTCCCACACATCCCAGTACTGGGCCAGGCCATTGAGAGCGGCGACATTCTCGAGGCGCAGATGCTGAGGGCAGCCATGAACGAGGAACGCTACATGAGGTGCGCACAATGGCTACACAGGACCATCAATTGGCAAGATACGGAGCAAGGCCAATGATAATGCCAAGCCTCAGCGACCATTAAGCGGACCCCAAGAGTGTCATTTCCAACATAATTCAAGAGACAGCTACAAACTGCGTGTGAAGTGTGAGAGGTTCGAAATGTCGGGTCAGCTCCTGCGACGTCTGAGTCTAGTTGCTAGTTTTTGTCGTCCAAGCAAGGGTGGTTCGGGTCCCGGGTTGAATCTCATTTCCCAGTGTCTGACGTGACCCATGCTTCCACAGCCGAGAGCCCGTAGTTTCAAGGCCAGGTGCAGAACTGCGGGACCACCTGAGACTCACAGCATGTGACGCTACCCTGACAGCAATCCTGACAGTTTTGCTTCGGGCAGGCTTTTTCGATTCAAATTTGTCCCAACAGCCACCAACAGCCACCAACAGCAACAGGCAGCTCAGCGTGCGATCCTCATCACATTCCTGGTCCAGGACTCGCTAGAGCCAACACCCGCCAAACTTAAGCCCGGCCTGCTGCGCAGACACCAGTGCTGGGGAAGTCCCAATTGAAGTCCCTTAAAGTCTCCTTCAGGACCACATCTACTGGCTGCTGAAAGTGGGCATCCTCAAGTATCACCGGCGCATGGTTTTCAGGACTGTTTCGGGCTTCAACGTGCCGATGGCAGGTTCCAGAACTACACCGCCATCCAGTGGCATCGGAGAAATCTCAGGTGCTTGCAGAGACCGCTGAAAGACCTTTGCGATGCTTTGCGATGCTTTGCGTGGGCTTGTCTTGCAGCCACGGTCAGCTGAAAAACTCCTGCATTCTGTAGACGTGCATTCATTTGCCCACTCGCTGGCTGGGCAAAAGTAGCGAGTTTGTGTGTGTGTTCCCGAAAGCCTGGAAGGTTCATCACGCTTTCTCACGTCCTGAACTTCTCACTGTGCGTACGTGAGGCCGGATCCTGGGTAGAATAGATCTGCACCGAGATGAGAGAGCCTTGCTTCGTACTCAGTACTCGTTTCGTAATCAGAATGGTAGTTGTGCAGTGGTCGAGTTCGCAGAGCCCGTAGCCATCGTAACATCTCAAAGGCAGCGCAGTACAGCTGCAGTAGAGCTCACAGAGGCAGATCTTAAATGTTTGACGCTGATCTTCTGGTGAGGCCTATCTGAATCTCAGATCTCTGAACCTGTCAAGAGTTCACCCTATCCCTAAAGCCCTTGCAGAATCGATCTGGCTGTGCCTCGGAAGCTGGGTTAAAGCACGAGATGGCAAGTCCAAACCTCTAAAGCCCCCGCAGATCTCGCGCATCCGCGCCAAGCAGCAGGACGGGCCTCTGCAACCTTGTAGGGGGCCTTTCGTTTTGATGGTTTTGTATGGCCACATGGTTGCCATGCATGTCTTGGCTCCTGTATTTTGGTTGCTTTGTTCAAAGGGGATGATCTGCCGGTCGCAATGGCTTCATTACGATTTGTTGAATGGGGCCGCATATGTCAGATGCCACGAAACCAGCTGCTTCGTTCTTCCAAGATGACAGGCAGATGACACCACAGCTGCATCTTGCCATGCACGTGCGTATTATGTCGCCGAGCAGGACCCGAAGATCGCGGGGGACAAGGAGGACTCTTGGCAATTGCATGCGTCTGCTGTCAGCTGGATGCTTCTTGGAGCTCAGTCTTGTCCAGCGTCAAGCGAGCGCTTGAATGGATTGCTTGTAATGTAGCCTTTGGTGTTTTGAAGATTACGACACGGCTAGCTTAGCTGTGCCGCGCGTCGTTCCAAGAGCCAGGCGCTGAAGAAAGCAGATGCAGCTGTTTATGACAACCTCAGGATGATGGTGAGGTCGGGAGCTGGCCAGAACTGACATGCTCGATTTTGCTTGACAAGTGCTTGACAGAATGGACCGAAACTGTGTAGAGATAGTGGCTTGCTTGAGGTCGGATTTCTGGGATAGGAGGTGGGATTTGGGCTAGGAAGTTCATCAACATCAACAGGCCGGGTCTGAACCCCACAATGAGCTTTTGGCAGGTACAGCCTCACCTTCATTCAGATGCTGCACGTCTCACAGGCTTCCGAGATTGTGTCTTCATCCTGGGCTTGGCTTCAGGTTGAGCCGGGTCATGTCTTCCTGGCAGCCACCCCCAGGTTCGACCTACGGCCTAGGCCTAAAGCTAACCAAAGGCCGGGTACAGGCCTTGTAGTTTCGGAAGACTTTGCAAGGTGAAGAAGATGGACGACTGGTACATCGGCTTGATGGGCGTGGCCTAGAACTCGGCTTGTGTTTCCGGGGTCCAAGGTTCAGGGGCAAAATCCTTACACCTTGCACCCCGACCTTCACTTGTAACTGGACACCAGGCAGGAAGATCAGGCAGACCAGGCCTCTCCAAAGACTTTGAAGGGCTCCGCAGGCCCGATGGGGGGGCACATGCGGCACATCAGCCCTCGGCAAAACGCCCAGGCGTCCTCGTACATTGACGCGTCGAAGCAGTGGTGAATCACTTGGTGAGCCTGATGAGCCCGTGATGGGCGCAGGAGTGAAGATGCGCAATGGCTGTGTCCACAACGTTCCCAAAAGCACCCGCATTGCTCCAGCAGCTCTTCAGAATTCAGGAGATCTTGTCAAGCCAACTTGGAGCCTCATCCGGGCAAGAAGCCCCAAACCCACAAAGACATGACTTTGATGGACTTCAACCAAGCTTTGCCATCTTTGCAAATCGCGGGAGGCTTAGGCCCCCTTCTTGAAGGCAAGGATTGCATAGGTTCAACTGCAAGTGCATCGTGTAGAAAGTATTCCGTTGTCCTTTTGGTCCACCTCATTACAGGTATGTGGTCTGGTTCCCCAGCCCAAGTTGCAATCCAAAGTGTTTCTACTGCGGCTGCATCGGGAACCATGAAATCCTTGTGATGAAGAGATGATTTACTATCCAACAGTAGAGCGGCCAGCCGCCACTCCTCGACGATGGCTCCAGACATCTAGACGGGTGTGCCCGCAAGAAGCACGAGCAAGCGAGCATGCAGATTCTCGAGCCATGTACCCGGGGCGGAAGAAGATTGGCCCCCTCCGACTCTGCGATGAAAGTCCCACGTCCTTTCACGGAAATGTTCGTGCGAAGCCGAAGATGCCGTGACCGCTACACTCGGACTTTCACTGCATGTTTTTCCGTCTCTCATGAATCATGGCGCAGTGGCACGCCTTTGGCAGATAGATCTTATGCCAAGCAGAAGCCGTGGTGAAGTCCACGTCCGGCGCCAACGGCTTCCACGCCTCACCTGCTTTGACCGGCAAGAGGCCGGTACTGTAGCAGCTTAAGCTGCCCTTTGAATTCTTCAGGCAGTTCAGGCAGTTCAGGCTTCACGCAAGTCGTTCAGAGTCGTTCGGGAGTTCGAAACAGCACCGGCCTTTGCCAGGATACGGATAGTCCGTGGATGATAAATAACCATAAACACATTAGAGATGCTGGAGAGAGAGAGAGAAGCAAAATCTGATGGGCGAAGGGCACAGCAGTGTTGTTAGGATCGGATAGGTGTTGATGGAGAACTGCCTGAGGAAGGCAGGAAAGAGATGCAGAAAGCAAAAGGAAAGCCTGCGGGGCTGGAAGTTGCGCAGTCGAGGCAGATCGAGGCATTAAATGAGTTCAAGTGGCTAACAGCTACAGGAAGCAGTCCAAATCTTGACCGAGATGAAGGCATGGTGCTTTTTGCTCTGGCTTGTCTTGCCCAGGTGCGAGAATTGCTCCCGATTCTCGCAAAGATTGAAAAGCTTTATGGCAATCTAGCCGCAGTTTCGCAACTTCCAGCCCTGTGGCTTTGGCAAAGAATGTTATTGCAAAACCCTCCGAGGTGCTCCCAAGCATGTGTACTGGGAGAGATAGAAGCGCGAAGGACGTCTGAAATCGGGTTGGGTAGTAAGTTAGGGTTGATCCTGCTGCGTTCCCATTGACCCCTGCCAATGCACGTAGTCAATGATCGGATCCAGTACAGTCCGTCCTGACTCATTGGCTGCCACTCCGGTGCTTTGGCACGAGCCCGTGTACATAGTAGCCACAGAATCAAGACCACAGCAGGCCTTCACAGTAGAGCCACGAACCTAGGACCGCCTATCGACCCCAAGCGGCCTTGATGTCGATCCTAAAGTATTGAGACGCATCTTGCTCAAGTTTTCAGCAAACATCCATGATGCTGAGACGGCATTCGGTTTGCCACCGTGATTGAGAGAGGGATGTAGAACACCGCGGACGGCGAGCCCGTGTGGACGGTGAATGAGGCTGGCCCTGAGGTCGTTGCGACGCAGCATTCTTATTGACCATGAGTTTTGCTGCAACATCAGTTTGCACGACCTCGTGCTTCCGATTTTCCAACCCATGAGACCATTTATATAATCGAGCATGTCAATGTACCGATTGACGAAGCCAGTTCCTCTCGGCAGTTCGGCCCTTGGTGCCGTCGGTGGCTTTGTCGGTGGCGTCTTTGGCGGTGTCTTCGGCGGCGTCATCGATGGCGTCAGGAAGGGCTTTGCGCAACGGGTCAACAGAACTCTGCAAGTGAATCCGCATGTCGGTGAGCATGCCACTAAACTAGACACCGTCTGTCATGCCGAGTCATACCTAGCATGTGCTAAATCTACCCATTGATGTCTTTTGCAGAGAGTGCGGCATCGGCACGTATGCCACCCGTTCGCAGGGGCGTGGCCTGCCAATCCGGAGATGCAGACAAGGTGGGGAAGTGGGGGATGGGGGTGGGGGTGAGGCATGTCAGCATATCGGCACTTGGAACCAGACAGCTTGTAGTACACAGTGCCGTTAAAGAGGTCTGGACATGAGAGCCTCCAGGTCATTGAGGGCACGGGAACCCCGATGTTATCAGGCCCGGAAAAATAGGTAAAAGGTAAATATGGTGTAACAATCACACAATATGTTTCAAGGGACCTTTTGGGGCATTTTTCGTCAAAGAGTGTGGGGCTTCAGGCTTTTCGGTTTCATGCAAGACAGAGCAAGCAGGCTTTCGAAGGAACCCAGGCGCCCTGCAAGAGACGTCACAGTACACTCCTAAAGATTTGTCAAGAGACCATTCGCCTCAGCTTGAGCTCACACATAGGTGTTCCTGGATGAGGCTTTAGTTGACGCAATTGCATAAGTCCTGTGGCAAGGATGCTTACGATGACGAGAACATCTTCGAGCAGCGTGCAAAGCTCGACCAGGCCAGGCCGAGGACCAGACGCATTTTCCTTGGACACTGCGTTCTTGTGAACCGTGGCATCTCTGCACCAGGGGGCCTCTCTATCAAAACTCCTGGACAACTTTGTTATCTTTTGTGAGGGCAACCTGCGGGAGAGGGTCTTCACTGTTGGTGTTGGCAGGTGCTGCAGTTCTTCGAGGTGGAGTACGAGCAGTTTGCCTGTATGTTAGGAGTTGATGGCTGGGGTTGAGCTTGGAGATCCTTGGGATCCGCATTCGACTTGCACGGAATCCTGAGTGTTGCTTGCAATCGTCGCGACCTCCGAGGAAGTTCAGCGGATACTTTGACGACCCACAGAGGCCTCGCTGGCTGATAAGATGGATGCCTGGTGACAGTTCGTCTTCAGGTCTTATCTTGAGTCAACCGCGTGTCTTGCGCGGCCCATGTTATGGCGATAGCTGGCGTTACGATGCAGGATCAGCTCCAAGCAGCTGCCGCTAATCATTTTGTTAGTCCGAAGATGCAGATGCCTTTGTTCAGTCTCTTTTTCCACCTGATGTGGTCCAAGTGTCGCAAGCTTCTAGCTGCAGATCTTGAAGTCCTGTTGCATCCTGTTTCCTATTTTAAGTTGACATCCCCATTCAGTTTGTGCGGCGTCAAGTCCTTTGACAGTGGCCGCTGCGTTTGAGTTGTAATGTCATGGGCCAGGATGGAGAGTTTGCGAGTGGAATACTACAACTGCATCAACGCTATCGAGTTTCAGCACCGTGGCAGGAATCATGATTCGCAGGGTTTATGAGTAGGTACGCGGGGCTGCAGCAGATTGCAGCTTCACGCTGGCCAAACATCATTCAGCACTTGTCTGGAAAGGACTATCCACTATTGGTTGAGTCTTCTTGGGGGCTTCGTTTTCCTGTGGCGCTCGCGTTGCCCAGGAGTGCTTGCATGCTTCTTGTAGCCGAGGAACGAGGTGCTGTCTCAACTGGCGTCACTTCTGCACTTATTGACCTTGCAGGCATGTGTAAATCCGCGCGAGTCTTCTTCCTGACATGTAGTTTCAGGTCAGTATCGATTGGGTCCTTTCAAATGCTTGCATTTGCTCGTTTAATGGGAACCCATGTGCACGGACCACAGAATGAACAGCAATGAGCATTCCCAAAACATTGTTGGCGTGCTCTCTCTAGTCTGTCTAGTCTGTAAGGTATGGTGAGATGTTATGGCGAAACGACGCAAGCCGAAACGGGCTTCTTCACTTCACCACGACATGTTCCAATCAAGTCGGACATGCGCGTGTAAATGGTGACGAGAAGCTAGTCGCATGCGTGGCATCATCTTGTGCGGGAATAAGCCCCAGGTGCGGAGCTAAACTTGTGCTGCTTAGGGGTCATCCTTCGCATCAACCGGTTCAACTCTCTCCACGATTCTGCAGCAAACGACGAGATGATCCAACATCATCAAGTCGCAATGCCATGAATTTGCTGGGCGCACCTCTGATGCGCCAAACGCCTAGCTGCTCTAGCTTCGCATCCGGCATTTTTCAAGAGAGCATGGATCTGCGTATGAACCTTGCGATGTGGCTTGGTTTCAGCGACGCTCTACGTTGAGTCGCACCTGCTCCATTTCTTGTTGGCATCTTGTTGGCCATGCCGCAGAAGTCCATGCTAGCGGCTAGCGAATGCAACAAGGTTTTTTTTGCAAACAAGAACTTGTACGGCACGCTAAAGAGCTCCTTGCACGGCAATCCATCTCAGGTTGATGAGCTTCTCGGCATGCGTGGCGCGCTGCGACGCGGCGAGGCAGAGGATTGACGGACGTGGTGCTTTGCAGAAAAACAGAGCTGCGAGCCATGGCTCGGTCAAGTCCTAGAAATGGGGCAGAAGGCGTTCAGCCGTACAAGCTTGGGCACCAGCCTGGCGCATGTCAAATTCAACTTACCAAGAGCTTTAGCAAGGGCTCAGGTGGGAATCACGCCGTTGGGGTCTTTCAACGACAACCACGACGACGACGACAACAACGACGACAACGACGACGACAACGACAACGACAGCGACAGCGACAGCGACAGCGACAGCGACAGCGACAGCGACAGCGACAGCGACAGCGACAGCGACAACAACAACAAGAAGGAAAGCAAGAAGGGAGTAAAGTCTTGGCTCACGTCATTTGCGGTTTGGAACGAAAATTGTGAAGCACGACATCGGCATTGAACCGCTAAACCACAGACTCACTTCGGTTTCGAAGCCGGGCTAAGGGGTAACCACGGACGGCTACAAAAAAGTCTGAGCCCTGCACTCCAAGCCTGCCGCGGAAGGCACTGGACATGTCGAGGAAGGCGCCACCTGTGGACAGTGTAGTAGGCTTGCAGGTTTGGACGAAGTAGGGTTTCAAGCGGGTTTGAAGATGGTTAAAGGATGTTTAGGGTTCAGAGCTTGTGGAATGGAGACTGATCGGCCACCTTGGCCTCTTTCGATCCGCGGCATTGAGAGGAGAGATTGAGATGGTCAGCTTTCCAGGTCTTCCCTGCAAAAAAAGGCACACAGTTGGCCCTACTTTTAAGACCTAAAGAGGGCTGCTCAAGATTCTCAAGTTCCATCTTCAGCCTGATAGCCCTGTCCAGAGCAAAACGCCTTAAACGCCTGAGCACGCCCTCACAGCCCTGCTACGCCCCTCCTTCGAGTTTAAATGGGGATCGAAGGGGTGCAGGGTGCATGGATGATGATTTGGGGATTCAGGAGCTGTGGCATGGGAACTGGGGAGGGAGCGGATTGTACAGGATCTGTCAATTCGGTTGGCGAACCTCAAGCTGGACATCTCCGACAGGAAGACCAAACGCTTCTTCAAGGATCTGGGGAGTTCCGGGGGCAGTGTTAGTTGAGCTGGGCCCGGATTTCGATGAGTTTTTTCGATCTGGGCTGGATGGGGCGGGGGTAATGGCAGAAGGAGAAGTGCGGGATGCAGAGGCACAGTGCAAGAATTGCGCCGTCAGGAGAAAGAGCGCAGACAACTGGTGGAGACACTCAGCCCAGTTGCATCCTCAGCTAAGGCTCGACAGTGGCTGATTCGCCGACTGTCGCACTTGCACATTTGCATAACCTTCCAAGTTGTATTTCAAGATTCGGAGTTCGTTACCCTTGGCCCTTGGGGTGTATATTTCGTAATTCGCAAGCGCATTGCAGGCGCAGGAGTGTTACGGCCACTATTTGGTCGTTCTCTAGCTTGTTCTGGCGCAAGTAGGCTGGCCTATTTCTCAGCTTTACTTCCCTGACTGCTCCATACACTTGCTTTTCGTGGCAGGAGTATTGCAGCGGAGTTTCCCTCCTGAAGTTGAAGCTTCACATCTCCATGCCCTGAGGCGATTGCGGACGCCAAAACGCAGCGGCTAGAGCCCACAGTTTCCAGTTCCATTTCTTTCACTATGACAGCTGCACGCCATCGCAGATCTGAAGGTGGACGAAGTAGAGGTGAATCCAGTTACATGGCTCTTGTGAGAAAGTTCCGATAGTCTCAGGCTTCTCGCGGAGCAGGCAGGCAGCGCAGGCCGCTCCAAGTCAACTCCAGAGATTCGTCCTTGTCTCTCAGTTGAGTCAAAGGCCGTGAAGGTTTGAGTAACAGTCCAATAGCGCTGAATCATCGATGAAACGATGGCGCTCGGGAGCATAAAGACTTCAAGCAGCAAAGGGAAGCATGCTCCAAAATCAGTTTAGGTTTACACGATCACATAGGAGTGCAATCCATTTTCTTGCTTCTTGGGAATGGACAGTTGCTACCTGCTGCCCAGTGGAAGCTACCCCCATGGATGCGGCGCCGCAATCTGCGCACATGGAGGCCGAAGGGAGGTTGCCAGGGTTTGGGTCCAGCCCACTCGAAAGTTTCTCAAGGCTCGACTTTCCATTGTTGCGCACATCTAACCAGACGGGGAAGGAGATGCAAACTGTTTGAGAGATTTAGAGAGCCAGAGCTGCTATGCAGAACAAGAAGAAGCTTTAGACAGTCTGGGCATTCATGCAGAACTCTTCAGCACCGGGCGCGTGCAATGCCAGCTTCGAGACCCAGCTTCAGCTCATTTCAACTCCATGTCTCTTCCAAACCCAAGAATTGCCCATGGCCTCCACAAACTCGTTGCAGCCCCAAGCCTTGTGAATCTGAGCTGCGCGGTGTTGCACGGTGCAGCACATCTCCTGAACAGATCTTAGCACGGCCTAGAAGTAATTGGGCTGACTAGAAGTTCAGCCAGCTACGCAGCTATGGCACTCCGGCAGCTGGTCGCTGCATGCTGGGTGCCCTTGTGGCATGACCTATCATTGACAGGCGGTATTCAGTTCGAGGCAAGGGCGTTAGACAAAGAGTGTGAAGTACATGTGCATGTGCACACGCTCCATGGCATAGGGCCAAAGACCCAAAACAAGCACAAGATCCAGTTGGATTGATCTTGGGACTTTTCCTATACTGCAAGACGAATCTGAGAAACGTGTCTTCACACTGGCCAAGCCTCTACATTTCTAGGTGCAGGCTGTTGCCGGATGTTTTTTTTGGCTGCGGCTTGATCGGTGGGGATGTTCCTACGGAGGGTCAGCGTGAATCATGGCGTCATGGTTGCGGGTATCAATGTCCATCTCCAGGCCTCGATGCCACTGACATCCCTTCAGTGAACCCAGCGGGCCTTAGTCTGTTTCAGAGGTACTGTCGTTGCCATCGGCGGCCGTGTCTTCCGACTGACTTGGTTGACTGCTGGAGAGCCTTCGCGGCCTTCGCGTGTAAGTGCAGCGGCGGGGTGTTTGGATTGTTAGGACGCTTCGGGAGCAGCGTCAGTCAGAAAACGACGGCGTCATGACGTAAAGCCTTTGCAGTAAAACGGCACGCCTGAGTCAGAAAACGGGGCGCACCAGTCAGAAAATCCGAAGGGCTCAATCAGAACAACGCCAGGGCCCCGTCCGAAAAACCAAGATTTGCCCAACTTGAAACCAAGATTTCAGCTGAGGGGCCCGGCCTTGGTTCCAACTTGAAACCAAGAATTCACCTGAGGGGCCTTCTTGAAACCAAGACTTCCAGGGCCAAGCTTGAAACCAAGATTTCACCGGAGGGGTCTTCTTGGGCCCAACTTGAAACCATAATTTTAACGCTACGCGACCCGCCTCGGCCCGGCCCAGCGCATCCGCGTGAGCCCAAGTCGCTGGACCCCAAGCAATAAGGGTTGGGTTGAGGGTTGAGGGTTCCGGGTTTATGGTTTATGGTTTGGGGTTTGGGGTTGAGGGTTAGTTTAGGGCTCAAGGTTCACGCTTTGGGGTTGAGGGTTTTTTTGGGTTTAGGGTTCGGCTTGGAGTGATCGTAGGGTTGAGCCAGGCCCCTTAAGGTTTAAGGCGACTCTTCGGCAGGGTGGGGGGGAGGGGGGGGGGAGGGGGAGGTCGGGGGGGGGAGGGGCGTAGGGGGGGAGGGTAGGGGGCGGGGGGCCCTGCTGGGAGGGGCTTCAACTGCCTCTGGTCCTGGCGAACCGTCCGCTTGCGGACCCCGGTTTCCCAGGGGGGGTACCCATTTGAGGCCAAAAAAAGGGGTCCGAAAAAGGGGTTTGGGTGTGGGGGGAGTTTGGAGGGGGGCTGCCTGTTCTGACAACCTATACACCTCCGGCCCGAGGCCTCGGCGGATTTCACCGGCGGGGCTTCTTTCACTGGAGGGGCCTTCTTGGGCCCAAGTTGAAAGCAAGATTTCACCGGAGGGGCTTCTATTTTACCGGAGGGGACTTCTTCTTGGGGAGGGCCCAACTTGTGAACTTGAAACCAAGATTTCACCGTTGGACCCAACGTGAAGCCAAGATTTCGCCGGAGGGGTCTTCTTGGGCCCAACTGCATTTCACCGGAATAAACTTCTTCTTGGGGAGGGCCCAACTTGAAACCAAGATGTCATCGCAGGAGCCTTAAAGCAAGATTTCACCGGAGGATCCTTCTTGGGATCAACTTGAAGCCAAGATTTGACAGGACGGGCCTTCTTTTTTGCTTTTTGGCCCCAACTCGAAACCAAAATTTCACCAGAGGGGCCTTCTTGGGCCCAACTTGAAACCAAGATTTCACTGGAGGGTTGGGCCAAGAGTTCACCGGAAGGGCCTTTTTGAGCCCAACTTGAAAGCAAGATTGCACCGGAAGGGCCTTCTTGGGCCTCCTTGACTGGAGGGGCCTTCTTGGGCCCAACTGGAAAGCAAGATTTCACCGGAGGGGCATTCTTGGACTCAGCTTGAAACCAAGATTTCACATGAAGGGCCTTCTTGGCCGAACTTGAAACCAAGATTTCACCGGAACTTGAACCAAGATTTCACCAAATTGGGATCCACTTGAAACCAAGATGTCACAGGAGGGGCCTTCTTGGACCCTAGTTAAAACCAAGATTTCGCCGGAGGGGCCTTCTTGGGATCAACTTGAAAGCAAGATTTCAGCGGCCGGAAATGACCAAACATTTCTTCTCCTCCTGTCGCGGTTCCGTTTGCACGTTCGAAGCTTGTCGCATTTTCGCAGCATTGAACCTCTTCGTTTTACGGCTGCTCATTTTCCCGACCAGCGCCTTCGATTTTCGGATGGGACTTCACCAGAGGGGCCTTCTTGAGATCAAGTTGAAACCAAGATTCCTCCGGAGGGGCCTTTTCGGAGTCAACTTGAAACTCAGATTTCACCGGGAGGGGCCTTCTTGGGCCCAACTTGAAACCAAGATTTTACTGGAGGGGCCTGGATCGGCGCTTGGGTCTGTCTGTCTGAGGCCTTCATGACCCTGGGCCCAAGTTATGAACCATGATCTCACCGGAGGGCCCTTCTTGGGATCAACTTGAAACCAAGGATTCATCGGAAGGGCCTTCTCGGGCCCAACTCGCACCCAAGAGTTAGACCCGACGGGCCTTCTTGGGCCAAATTTGAAAGCAAGATTTCACCGGCGAGGCCTTCTCGGGATCAACTTGAAATCTAGGTGAAACCTAGATTTCACAAGAAAGGCCTTCTTGGCCCCAATTCGAAACCAAGATTTCGCCGGAGGGGCCTTCTTGGGCCCAACTTGAAAGCAAGACTTCGCCGGCCTTTTTGGGCCCAACTTGAAACCAAGATTTCATCCGAAGGGCCTTTTTGGGTTCAAAACTTGAACCAAGATGTCACCGGAGGGGCCTTCTTAGGCCCAACTTGAAACCCAGCCTTCACCGGAGGAGCCTTCTTGGATTAACTTGAATCAAGATTTCAGCGGAGGTGTCGCGTTTTCGCACTGAGCCTCTTCGTTTTACGGCTGCACTTCTTCCAATTGTGACTGGCGGACACACGTGATTGACCAAATGACCGAGCTTTGCTTTTCTCACGGTTCCGTTCGCACGTTCGAAGCTTGTCGCGTGTTCGCGCTGAGCTTGTTCGTTTTGCGGCTAGTTTTTTTCCGACGAGCACCTTCGATTTTCGGATATTTTCGGGTTGGGGCTTTCGGACACGTGCGATTGACCAAATGACCAAACTTTTCTTCTCCTTCTGGCTCGGTTCCGTTCGCACATTCGGGCCTCTTCGTTTTACAGGTGCGCGTTTTCCGAATGTTGCGTTCGTTTTTCTCTTTTTCGCCTATTTGTTTCCGGATTTGAGGCCTTTGGACGACTGTTTCCTCGGCGTGTGTTTGCGGCATTTTGAGGCTTTTGGTTTTGCTGACTCAGCCTTCACGTTTTGCTGAGTCAGCCCTTCGAGTTTTCTGACTGAAACCTCCGCGTTTTCTTGTGCCGTCCCGTTTTCTGATTGAAGCTTTCCGATTTACTGCCCACGTTATACTGACTCAGCCCTCACCCCTTCGCCAGCATTGTTCCAAGATGTCTCTAATTCTTGGGCATGAGAAAGGTCTTGATTAATGCACTAGAGTGGATCCCGGTGCAGTCATGACAGTTCAATGCTGAGGCAGCAGCTGAATGATGAGACGTTCGAGCACCAAACGCAGGCAAACTGATGCGCTTGTGGGGTACCGTGCGTTCCCTGGGTGCTGATCCTGAGCACCTTATTGTCCATCACATAGAAGGTGAAATAAATCGGCACTCGAAACGTACACAGCATACAGGGAGTCAACAATGTATCACAGCCAGAAGCTATTTAAGATTTTAAGCCTGCTTTTGGATATCCGACGTGCCAGGCATCTACCGGCATGACAACGGGGAGCTGGCTCGTGACGCGAGGGGCCCTTGAGTGCTTTGAGCGTCGAGCGCTTCGAGCGCTTTGGGTTTTTTTTGGATGTTGGGGGATGTTCGGTCCATGAGGTGCCGGTGGGATGTTGGAGGGGATCCAATCGCAGAGGCGCATCAGACTCCGAGCCCTGTGTCGTTGCAGCAGTCGCAGTATCGCCCCAGATCCCCTAGAGCAGAGCGCCGTTCAGAGCCTTCAAGCTTGGAAGCGCTTCAGGTTCGGCTCGAACGGCTGCGGCAGCTGCGACAGATTTCGTGAGGTGGGTCTTGGGGCACCCCTGAGCGCCCCAACGATGCTCCGAACATTGATGCCGCAAGCATGTAGTTTCCCATAAATTGATTTCTTTCAGCCGCTGGAGAAAGTACAAAATCACACATGGGACTACATGCGCTGCACTGGTACCAGGCTTGTACAATGTACGGCCACTCTCGCTTTATGCACACTTTGCTGTCCAAACTGTAAGCACAAGGGCACACGCCATTTCATTTTCCTTCACAATATTCACCAAGCAAAGAACTGCGTGACATCTACATCCTATATAAGTTCCCCCTTGTCCCACATTCCCCCTGCAGGCCTTAGATTCCGTGGAAGAGGACCTGGGTGGGGGTTCCCAAAAACTGGCCCTAAGCCACTTTACTCGCTTGCGAAAGCAGTTTGCATGTGCAGGATTCAGCTACAAAGGGTTTATTCGTTCCACCAGAGTGATGCCAGATGCACGGCATTTTGCTACCAAAACCCATCAAGATGCGCATAAGTGGGCATAAGACATGGCAGAATCCTTGAGCCGTGAAGTTGCAGAGGATCAAGTTTTGGGGAATCGGCAGCGCGCACGCTTGTACGGCCTCGACGACAAAACGTGTTGATTGAGATTCCAGTCAGGGGCTTGGTAAAACCCTCGAAAGATAACAAAGTTCCTAGGGTTAGTGACGGTTAGTGGTTCGCTCGCACGTTCGGTTGCCCTCATCAGGGGACCACGAATAGTTGACCTGTCTGGACAGCGTGAAATCTCAGTTCGCCGTTTGCAAAACTTACAAAAGTAGCATCATCTTTGGCAAAAAAAGGTGGGTGTACTCACCACGGGTCGGTGCGCGCAACCCCTGCAAAAGTTCTTTAGATTCGTCTCAGCACGAAGTCGCACCCACAACAGGGCCTTTCCGCCCTGTCCAATTGCAAGCATGCCGGCAGGAACTCCGAGACATGTACGTGATTCCCGCCCACGTAGACAAAGTGGACAGCGCAGGACCGTCGTGGACATGTCACTTCAAGTCGGTCATGCGAAGCCATGTTGATTCCATGTTGCTGGTGCTGGGGACTCATGGACGCACCTCCATGCCGCATGGAGACGCGGGAGTGGAGGTCTATGGAAACGATTTGGCATCAGCGAGGCTCGAGTGGTAACAGAGGAGCAAAAGGGGGCTCTAGGACAGTGCAGTCAGAAATCCAGAGTTATGAGGAGTTCGACACATTCCCAAACTGGCTTGTCTGGAGCGACCCCAGGTGCCCGCGACACTGCTCTTTGCAAAGCACAAGCTCTATCGCTACACGGGGGCTCAGGACTGTGCCCCTCCCCCTTGCACGGTAGAAAGCGAGTAACGTGGTAGACATGGTTAATGAGTTTCGACATACCTGCCAACCTGCATTTAGTCTTGAGCAAAATTCCATCCCATTGCCTTACAAGAACATGTGTCATCGATCCTGAACCACTAGCAATTCAATATTGAGGGTGACAGCCCCAGTAACAACTCTTCACGTGACCTTGATTCATACATTTGTTGACCCTCTCCACCACATTTGTTTTTTTTTAGTTTTGTTTTTACACGATTTGTCTTTCGCCCCACAAACTCGAACGATTCAAATTGGCCCCGAATTATTTTGCAAACTACATACGAAATCGACTTAGGATACAAAGGAAATGGATTTTTCTATGAAATCGGGAGGAAATAGAAACTTTCTTATTGAACATAGACTAGAACAAATTTTGCTTTCCTATTGAAGTACAGAGGGGGAATGGCTCCCTAATAAAACATAGGGACATAGAGGTTGACAGAACGGAAAGACGGAAAGAATCAATGACACAAATCAATAGTTATACAAAGGAGCATATATTTCAAGCATGCTTGATAAGAAGATCATGCCATAAAGAGGGCTTGCATCAAGCAAACATGCGACTCCTTTCCAAGCCCGTCATGCGAGTGCTTGACATGGGCGGGCCTTGCAGAGGACCTGCGTTCAGAAACGTGCCATGCCTTTTCCAAACCCGTGTGAGTATTGTGTTTGCAAATTGTTAGAGGGGCTCCCCCTATCATGCCACAAAAAGAGGATTTGTGTCAAGAAAGCATGCACATACTTTTCCAAACCCGTCATGCGAGCATGGCTTGTGTTTTGAGGAAAACCTGCGTTTGTACTTTTTCAATTAAAGCCTTTATTTCCTCTATATTTTCCTAGGCAATTTCCTCTGCATTTCAGTAGGAAAACCTCCAAGCCCTCTGTAGTTTGATAGAGAAACCTTTATGTCCTCTGTATAAAAATAGGAAACTCTAGCCCAAAAAGCAGGTGTGCAAAAGAATTCCTCGCCCATTTGGTTTGCCTGCACGGACCCTCTATCTGCCTCTAATTCGGCCCGAGCTTCCCAAGCTTTCTTGTTCTGGGGTTCAAGTGGATAGGCATCCCTCTGCCAAAGCCAAGACTTCGGAAATTCCCCTCGACGAGCTCTGCCTTTGGATCACTGCCTGGAGATTCCAAGACCCCTGAATTCAGGAGTGTTCCGAAAGTGCCTCGTTAGCTTTTCGTTTAAGGCAGATTCCTCAACCGATCTTAGGAGGTAGCAGAGCCTCTGACTGGCAGGACGGACAGGACCTTTTAGCTTTCGCTCGGGCTGCCCTGGAAGGGCAGCTGAGCGCTGCCGAGGCCTGGTGGGTACGTTGCCGCCAGATGGTTCATGGTTTAGGGATGGGACCCTTGCGGTAAGGCCAAATCGCCGGTAATGGTCAATGCAGGGAGGCGGATAGGACACAAACTGCGAAGCGTGCCGTTTAGCCACGGAAAGACGACATTCCTGACGACACAATTTTAGTTATCGTGCGGTGTGCTCGGCACTGTAACGTTCTACTATGTTTTTGCGCCCTGGGATTTCCTCAGGTTATTTGCGGAAGCATCTCCAGACCATTTCAATGGTGTTAAAAATTTAGGGCGAGGTAAAGGCTTAGCGGAACGGTGCACTTACAAGAAGGGCTGCAGTGCACTTACATAAGATGCCCAGTAACAAGCGCCATGCGGTCTCAGATTCCGCCGCCGCCGAGCTTGCTGCAGATCGTGTTGGACAAGGCCCGACCTAATTTTGTATTTTCTGGCGCCCCATGGCGCATGTACCGTGGAAACCTAACTTTTGAAGAGAATCCCGCGGCTGGCCTTGAGCTGCAGGCATTGTTTCTCCATGACATCGAATGTAAGAGATGAACCACCAGAAGCAAGTGCTTGTGCCTTCCGGCGTGCGCTTTGAGCATTTCGACGCTGACTTTAACATAGCGAAACGAGGTCAAGAGCATCTTCGGGGCTGGAGAGCTGTGAGGATCTGTGAGGCTTCCGAGGGTATTTAGAGGCAGCGACTTGTGACTGCTCGGTTGCCAGTGTCTGCCGGATGTATACCGCTTGACGCTGCACCTCTTTCAGGTTAAAAGAACAGGCCCACTCGAACATAGCAGGGCACGTGGCAAGCCTTTGATAATTAGAGGGCCAGGAGGTTGAGGTCAGCTTGTTAGGATGCACCGTAGAAGAGAAACCCTGCAAACAAACCCTCGCAAAATCAAAGCGTTTGGTGTTGGAGCAGGTTAGCCAGTCGGGCGCGTGCGAAGCGGCCGTGCTTGCCGCCGACTGCGAGAGCTTGCGTGATGCAATCAAAAGAATATGTGGGTGAGAAACTTCCTTGGGGTTGGGGACTTGGCCTGGTTTGGCATCTCCGAGCTTCGCGGCGAGGCTTACATTTTGGTTTGATTTGAGGGCTCTGTTGTCGCCGTCAAGCCTTGGAGGAATCAGTAGCTGGATGTGGACTGTGAGGCTGCTGTAATCTATAATCTATAGCCCTGGGCAGCAATGTGTCACCCCAAGGTATTCGGTGCATGAAGGACACGAACTGCGCTCACAAACGGACAATGAGGGCCAAGTTCAGCAGCACCAGCACCAGCACCAGCACCAGCACCAGCACCAGCACCAGCAGCAGCAGCAGCAGCAGCAGCAGCAGCAGCAGCAGCAGCAGCAGCAGCAGCAGCACCAGCAGCAGCAGCAGCAGCAGCAGCAGCAGCAGCACCACCACCACCACCACTACCAGCAGCAGCAGCAGCAGCAGCAGCAGCAGCAGCAGCAGCAGCAGCAGCAGCAGCAGCAGCAGCAGCAGCAGCAGCAGCAGCAGTGGTGCAAGTGCAACTGCAACTGCAAGTGCAAGTGCAAGCTGCAAGCTGCAAGCTGCAAGCTGCAAGCTGCAAGCTGCAAGCTGCACTTGCACTTGCATTTGCACTTGCACTTGCACTTGCCCCTTTGCAAAGTAATTAGGCTGAGAACCGAAGTTCAAGCTCCACTGATCACAGTTATTGTTCAGCCGAGTCGGCCCTAACCGTCCACCAACGCCGATGCAAAACAGCAGGCCTCCGCCTCCGATTGCGACAGGCATCCTTCCTCAGGTGCCCGCCAGAGGCCTGACGCTTTGATTCTCAGGGTTTGGCCATGGATTTTTTGGGGGGCTTTTGTGCGATTTTTCGAGAGCTTCGAAATGCAAGGCTTTTCAGTTGCCGTGGTGACAGAACCTGAGAAGGGGCATCGGCAGCCCTGAGTCTGTCATGAGCGGTGTCCGACTTTTGCAGAGGCGCTACAAGCACTACAGTGATGCCCATCTGGTGGGGGGCCCAATCTCAGTCTCGAACCCGTCGTCTAACAGGAAATGCGGAAGAGCCCTGGACGCTCTAACCTATGAGAAACTTCTACGGGCGGCCATGATTCTTCTGGGATGTGGTGCTACTCGTAGTGGCCTTCGGGAATGTCAGCTTCCATGCTAGCACAGCGCTTTGTAAGAAGTGGTCACTTGACATGGTCTTGTTGTGCAGCCTGATAAGAGCATAGCACAGGCGTCGCTCTTGCGCGAGAAGGCGCGGAGTCCAGCAGCATACTTGTTCACGACACCGAAGATTTGCATTTGTCGGTGCTCTATCCATTGTACGGTGCAAAAGCAGGTGGCGCATTGAGCAGGGTTTTTGCTTGTCGTTGTCTGTGCTTGTTTGCATGTGTGTGTGTGTATATCTATCCGTTTGTGCCTGCGTCTCTGCGTGCATATGTGCGTGCGTGTGTGCATGGCATGGTTGTGGTCAGTTGTCATGGTGGAGCATTCGCAGCCTGTCTTACAACGACATCTCCCAACCCACGTGTAGATTGCAAATTGACGCATCAGGACGACTAGCGGTCCACCTGTGATCTTCAGCGGAGGCGTTTGCTGGACTTCGCTTGGATGCCAGTGTTTGCTCGCATTGTTCTTTGTGAGTGTTGTTGGTGCACGCGTTGCAGTGGAGTCGACGGTGACGTCATTGAGAGCAAAGGTTGCACAAGCCTTGCAGCTCCTACAGCAAGGATTGTAGCAACTATAAACTTTTTGCCAGTTTCCTCGAACGAGAACATTTGGGGTCCTCTCCTTTCTGACTCTCTGAACAAGATCGTCACGCGCCTGGCCGGATGCGTCCGTGGTCTCCCGCGCACAGGCCGGATGGGGCGTGGTCTCCCATGATCTCCGATCATGAGCCCACAGCGGCCAATGTGCAAATTCCCGCCACCTCGGTCCCTCCAAACCTGCGTTGCGTTCTCGCCGCGCACGCCCTCGCGCGCACGCGCGCGCTCGGTTTGGGGTCTATTGCCCCGCAGTGTCCACCATGCAGATCCGAAGCCGGCAGAATCAGGCAATGTACAAAGTACAGCATAAAGTCAATATTATGTCAATTATGTCTTATATATGAGTTGTAAATGTCTACAGCTGTCGAAGCTTTTGAAACTCTGAGTATCCTAGGTAAGTGGGTGAACACACCATGCCAAGATAAAACAGGCCGGAAGGCTCGCCTGTGGCCCACTTGGAGCGGCGGCTGTCGGCAGAGGAGGTGCTCAAGGAGCAGTTCGTCACTGCGGATACGGCCGAACAATGCAAAGAAACTGGCGACTCAGTGTTAGGTACTGGTAGCATTGACTTGAGACCTCACGGACTCAGTTGTACGTCAGAACAACAGAAGATGCCAATAATTGCTGCGTTAAACCACTACGAAGTTGAGAAAGGCGAAGCCAGGTTTGAGGTCAGCGACGGCTCTCTACTAGCAGGGCCCGTACATGAGGTTTGGGCGAGTGTGTCTGGCTCTGTGGTTGCCACGGCCATAGACTTGAAGTCGGGAAACTTATAAGCAACTGCCCTTGCATCCCCAGGATATT